CGGGAGCAGCGCGGGCGGGAGCAGCGCGGCCCGGCCCGGCGCGCGGCGCGACCTACAGGCAGACACACACACGCACAAGCACACACAGACACAGGCACACAGACACACACAGACACACACAGGCACACACAGACACACACACAGACACACACACACACACGCACAAGCACACACAGACACAGGCACACTCAGACACACACGGACACATGCACATACAGACACACGCACAGGCACATGCACAGGCACACACAAACACCCACAGACACACACACACACGCACAAGCACACACAGACACATGTACAGGCACACACAAACACCCACAGACACACACACAGGCACACACAGACACAGACACATGCACAGGCACACGCAGACACAGGCACATGCAGACATGCACAGGCACACACACACACAGGCACACACAAACACATAAACACAGACACATGTACAGGCACACACAGACACATGCACAGGCACATGCAGACCACACAGACACACACACAGGCACATGCACAGGCACACGCAGACACACGCACAGGCACAGACACCCAGACACACAGTCATATACACACATATACAGACACTCACACAGTCACACACACACTCAGCCCAGGGCAGTGCCAGGGCACCCGGATGCCTGGGCTCCTCAGGGCCAGGCTGCAGCAAGAAGGGGCAGGAGGGGGCGATGGGGCCACTCTGGTCACACTGGTGGCCGTAAGGGCAGACTGGGGTTGCCAAGGCCAGGCGAGGGCAAGAAGGACCAGAATGGGGTGACCAGGTCCTGCAGGGGCCAGTAGGACCGGACTGGGACAATGGGCCTGAGCGGGGCCAGCCCAGGACTAAGGGGGCCAGCCCAGGGTGCAACACGGGGCCGTGTCACCCTGCATGGGACACGGGACTGGGACACCCCAATCACGGCAGCAGCTTCCTCCCCCCCGCGGCCCTGCCATGTCCCAGCCGCGAGGGGAAGTCACAAAGCAGAGGAAAGTCCCCGGCGGCTGGGACAAGAGAGAGGCCCCGCCCCAAGCGCCACCTGGCACCTCTGCGGCCTGTGCCGGGGGGTGCCAGGTCCTCCCCAGCTCCTCTGCATCTTCCTCCGATCCAGCAGCTTTCCCGGTCGGCATCGAGATGCCAGCTCCTGGCTGCTGCTCCGACAGCAGCAGGTTTCTCAAGATTGAGGCCAGAAATGGTACGTTTAGAAACAGGTGGAATTTTATTTTAAAAAAACATCACAACCATTAACATCGTTACAGTTAGTCGCCGCCTCCGGGTTCTGCGCATGGTGACAGGAGCATGCTCACACAGGGGGGTTGCGGCCGGCGGGGATCAGTTAACAACCATTTTAAAAGGAAAAAAAAAAAAAAAAAAAACAACTCTGCACACTTCCATTGAACTTGGTTTTAATGTTTCTCCACAAATGGTGAAAAATACTAAAGTACAGACAAGGAATAATCATAATGTTGTGGCCAACATTATAAATATGGAATTATAAATTTAAAACATTTTCTGGTTTAAAAAATAAATCTGGTAGTAAATGAAGCCGGGCGGGCGCGCCTCTAGTAGGGCCGGTCTCTGCGCTCCTGGCGGTGCTCCCCCCTGCAAGCGGAGATGCCGGCTGAGCCACGGCGCCCAGGAACGCGCCTGCTCCGAGCGCTTCCTCTCTCCGGCGTTTTCCCCACGGCTCCCGCTCGGGCGCCGGGCCCGCTCTCCCGCCCCTCAGCCCGTGCTCCCCTCGCTCCCCTACGTACTTGTCCATCTTTCCTGGTCCGCCGCGCCGCCCGCCTCGGCCTCCGCCTCCCATCTGCTCCAGGAGCGGCCCGGGAGGGCCGCCAGGTCCTCCTCCTCGCCGTCCTCCTCCGCCGTAGCCGCCTCGATCCATGCCCCGACCCCCACGGAAGCCGCCTCTGTCGCCGCCACGGCCACCTCTGAACATGCCGCCGGGTCCCCCGCGGTCCATGAGGCCACCTCCTCTTCCGCCTCTCATCCCACCGGGGCCGCCTCTACCGCGCTCTCCACCTGGGAGAGAGGAGAACGTTCCCAGGAAAAGAGCAACTGAGAGCAAGAGCTGATGGACACAGGAAAGTTGTGCTCCAAGAGCCGCTTGCAGGCCAGGAGATCTCTCTGCCCCGTTATGGCTGGGGGCAGCAGGACCAAGGGACCGGGCTGCTGGCCCAGCGGGATGTATCCAGCGGCGACCAAAGCCAAACTGGGGCTCCGAGTGTCCCCGGGCTTCCCCGCAGCCTGGAGGGACGGGACTGATCAAGAGGGCACTGCTGGGAGGACTGCGCTGCTCTGGGGAGGCCCCGGGAAGAGGTTCCTGGGAAGCGCGGGAGCGAGCGCAACTCTCCCCGCTCCGCTCACAGTGAAGTCTCCCCGGGGCTGGAAACGGCCCCACGGCCCGCACGTACCTGGAGGGGGGAAAGGGGGCGGCAGGAACCCTTCTGGCTTGGGAGCCTTGCACTGGTTGCACTCCGTTCTCCAGGCGAAATTCTGGTTTCCGCATCCCCTGGACAAAAGCAGCAGTCGGCAACGCTTGCGCCCGCGGCCCCAGCACAGCAAGGGGAGTGCGGCGTCCCAGAGCCACCCCACGGCCGGGATTCCGAGCCACGCAGGGAGGGCAGGTTCCGTGCGGTACTTACGGATTGGGACACTGCCAGTCCCCGGCGCGGTGCTGGACGCTCCCGCCGGAGGGGTTTCCTCTGGATCCCCGGGGTCCCCTCGAGGAGAAGCCACCCCTGTCTCCACCTCTGCCTCGCGCGACGGGGGTACGTCACCTGTGCGGAGCGGGGGCGGCATCCCGCGCGGCTCGCGCGGCGGCAGCCCGCCCCGCACGCTGTTCATCGGGCCCTTCTTCCGCGCGAGGCTCACTTTGATCTTGCTCCCCTGGAAGTCCTTCCCTAGGACGAAGAGGGCAAGAGCCTCACTTTGTGCTGGGAGCCTCCGCTCTTTACGAGGCTCCAATACCACACGCATCTTTCTACCAGCCTGCGGAAGGGCAAGGAGTCACTGACTGCACAGAAAAGGCCACCCAAGCGTCAAGGGCAGAAAGGAAGAAGTCAGCCTGAGTGGGACTAGGATGAGCTCCAGCTACAGCAGAGTAATGGAGAGAGGAGCTGAGACTCCTGGGACAATCGGGACCCAAGCAGCGTTCTTCTGTTCCAGCTAAAACCTGGAAGTCGTGAGGCAAAAGCCTGCATGACGACGTGGAGCAGCTTCCAACAACGACGACCCTGCCTGTCCCCAGGACAGAAACAGCCACTCCCATCAGCCAGAGATCTCCAGGGAAGCGTTTCCAGCATGGAATGCGCTCCCCGTACTCACCATCAAACCAGTCTATGGCCGTTTTGGCAGTGGACGGGTCATCGTAGGACACTGTGGCATCTCCTTTGGGCTTGCCCGTTTCCTTGTCGATGTACAGGTGGATCATAGGCTGCCCAGTCCTCTTGTTCATCTGGTAGGGAACAGACCATCATCTCAAACCACCTCTTGCCCATAAGCTGAACGATTCCCTGCTCTGTTCCACTGTTCAATCCCATACAGCTCAGCGCAGTAATTCCCGGCTCCCCCCCCCTGCAGGGGTCCCAAAAAGCATCGCCTGGCACAGAAGCCTCGCCTGCAGTGCAAGAAATGGGCTACGCAGAGACAGAGCCAAGAGGCAAAATCTCTTGAAGACAAAATCTCTTCTCACGCTCTCCCATCTCTCCCCAGCCACCCGCTCCCTCCAGCCTGCCGGCAGCAGATCCACAGGGACACAATTCCTCCATCCCAAGAATATGAGCACAGCTACTTCCGTAAATCCCACTGGGATGTCAAAGGACAAATCCTGCGCAGCTTCCTCCCCATGGCCCGAGGCACAGGCCAGCTCCGGGCTGTGGAGACGTCAGTGCCCCCGGCAGGAGCCCTGTGTGGCTCCTGGATGGGGAGGGTCTCAAGGACATGAGCCATTTGGTGGCAGGAAGGAGCAGGCCAGTCCTTGTCCCCCCTCCGTGAACCGGGGACACGCTGACCAGCCCGTGCTGCCCCTCACCTTGACAACACCGCACTGCTTGAAGAAGTCTGCCAGATCCTCCAGGGTCACATTGTCATTGAGTCCCTGCACATAAACTGAGCTGTTGTCCAAGTCCTCGTCCGGCTCCATAGGAGGGCCTAGGAGGGAATTCACAGCGTCATGACAGTGATGGAACATGAGGGACACCAAAACAGTGGGGTGCTTTCACCAGGCCAGCCCCCAAAGGGCTGCTGCTTCTCTGCCCAGGACTGTTTCCATATGCATATATATATGGAAATCCTGGTGTTTGGAGCAGCAATTCTGCAAGGCCTCCTACAAGCGGGTAGGGGGAACAGCACGAACGCTGCCCCGGCCGCCTGCAAGGGCCTCGGCTTGGGCACAAGCCGGGCTGCGTCCATGGGCTGGGATCCTTTATCCCAGTGCAGCAGCCGGGCAGACGCCCGGCCGGGTAGTGCCAAACTGCAGGGATGAAGCACATGGCTGCCACAGGGGCATCTCAGTGAGGCTGCTACTCAAAGGGCCACGTCTCTCAAACATGGGCCATTCCCACCCTGCAGGTGTTCTGAGAGGGAGGAATAAACCAAGTGGCCACAAAAAGCCTGTAAATGACCGAGCATCCGCGTGCTTCTTCTCCAGAAGGGCAGTAAGAGCGGAGCAGAGGAGCAGCACAGGAGAGCCCGGGGCAGGGAAGCCGAGCAGCTGTTTACAATTACCTAAATCAAGGTCTGGTCCTTCCTCCATGTGTCCTGCCAGTCAGGAGAGAAGCACAGAGAGCCCAGTTAGTGCACGTCTTGCAGGCCGAGGTGACACACACAAAACTATCTACTTATAACCACCGTTCGATGGCATCGGTTAAACTCGAATCTGACCTGCATTGCACAAATGTCAGCAATGCACCTTTTACTTGGTGATCGGTTTGCTATTTTTAGCAGCCTTTCAAAACCATTAACCACTATCACACTTTTTTAATGCTTTACCAGGCCAATCAGTTTTAAGCTTATTAAAAAAAAAAAAAGTTACTTTACAAAACGTTATTAAATCCAAACCAGTTATTTTCCCCAAATTACAGAAGTGGTTTCAATTCCTCCACGTTACCCTGTGTCCTGTAACCGCATACCCCTAGGCATTGCCGGCAGTACCCATTACAGTCTTGTTGCACATGTCATTTTAACCACTTATCAAACTAATAAAAAAATTACACTTTTTTTTTTCTAAAAACTGACTGCAATTTTCATTTTTTTTTAACACTATCCAGCGTAATGCTCAAAAACTTACCACCAGGCTTATTGAAGCCACCTCGCTCTCCAGCGCTGCTGGGGGGATAAACGAAGAAATGAAGGCCTGTCCCTTTACAAAGCCAGCACCGCTGTGAGCCTCTGCGGCTCACGGGGAAGGAGGGCACTGGCTAAACATCTCCAAAGAATGCATCTGTCTGTCTCTCTCTCATCTCGTCACTATGCCTTTCTTCAGGGCAGCTTGCTCAAATTTCCTTTTACATACGCAACCTCGCTCGGCTGCTTTTAGACACCACTTTTGCTGTCGGTACCCTTTCGTCACTCGTACTTGTATTATCGGTGCAATACTTGGCTGAGAAAAATCCACGTTTCTGAGCGCTCCGAAGCGGGGCTGGCTCTAAAAGTAGCCCCGGGGCCACGCGCTGGTCAGCTCCCTCCCCTCGTGTGTACACAAAGGTGCACCCTTGGCCTCCCGCACGGGGAGCGCGGCGAGCCCGCAGGGCCCGCAGGAACAGGTGAAAAGGCAGGAGACAACCACACGCGATGCCTACAACACAGTTCAGCTGACATTTCCGCTAAAAACCTCCGTATAAAGCCATACATTCAGGTCGCTACTGGATTTAACAAGTCTCTGTGGAAGGAGAACTTACAGAATACAGCGAGGGCTCCAAGGCCTGGGGTGCAGCTTTGTGGACACGGGCCAGGACGGCAGATTTGGGCGCCGCGGCTCGAGCGGACGCTCCGCAGCAGCTCGCGGCTTACGACCGCTTGCAAGCGCCGCTCCCATAGCAAAATGCCCCCCGAGGAGGATTCTTTAGGGTTCTTTTTGGAAAGGCAGAACTTGGTTGGAAGGAGACAAGCAGAGGAGGGAGAGCACCACCTATTTTCTAGCAAGTATTGCACCTCTAATACTGGAAAGAAAAGAGTTGTCAATACACAGTTTCAAGCTGTTGCATGCAGCTTTGCCTCCTTGCGTTAAAGTACACACCATATATGTAATGTCTCTCTTTTTAAACACATACTTTTACACTTTTTAATGTTACACAATTCTAAAGTAGTATACCTCCTCTGGTTTTATTACCAAAAAACAAGTATGCAGTTACCAAAGTTACAGAAGGATTCCATTTATACAATGAATACATTTGGTTAAAAATATTCTATGTATATTTTTCCTCTCCATATGGACACCGTGTCTAGTCCCACTTTTCATTATGCTGCCGGCTGAGTACTGAGTACGGGTACTTTTTAAGTATTGAAGTGTATACAAGGCTCTCACTTTGTAACCTGTAGCATATAAATGCGACAAAGCATGTTAAAAAGTTTCCATGTTTAACAGCCAATGAAAATATAAAATAATTGAGTCAATGAAAAAGGGCATGTTAATAACATTGAGCTCCTTACCTGCTGGAGACACTGAAATCCATCACCACAGCATGTTAAGAAGGGCCGAGTTCCCCTACCTGCCCTGGGCGCCCATGGAAAGGCCACCTTTTCTATGGACAGCAGGAAATCCATGTCCATAGAGCAGGGGGCCCTCCTAGTCAAGTGGGAATCACTACGTTCGTTAATTTAATCTCGGATTACGGGTGTGATTAGAGATGGATGGCAAATCTTTTGCAGTGAGAAGCTCTGAAGGAACTAGAAATTTTCAGATGTGATGATAGATATTTCAAGTGTCTACATCTACTTTAAACCGTTAGAGATAAATACATCATGGGTGAAATCTTTATACAGAACCAAGGGACTCGGCTGCACTTGTGCCAATTCAAGCCAAATGTCTTCCAACAGGAGTAAAATCTTTTCCTTCTATTTCCACAGACAGTTGCGTTTCTCCGATAAAGATTTCAAGCCACTTCAGTTCATTGGGACAGAGCTATGCAGACTGGCACTGGCACTCGCCCAAACTCTGGCTGCCCCCGGGCTGTACGACCTGCTTGCCAGGTCGCCCACGCACAAACAGCTGCCCGCAGGGCCGGGACCCCGTACCCCGCGCGCTGCTCCCAGCACCTCCGGCACCCTGCATAGCTCTGCGACGCCGCGGGGGATGAACACACACAAAGCTGCTCCCTGCCGCTCTCCTGAGCCGGTGGGACCAGGCCGCCTTCCTCACCTTCAGTCAAACACACCCCATGGGCGGGGGGACAAACTGCCCAGCCGAAGGCCCAGGGTTACTAAACCAGGTTTTGCCATCGGTTGAAACGGCCAAACTGATTTAGATCCCCCAGCAGCTCCGAGGGGGAGCGGTCCTGGAGGCCAGGGCAGGTGTCGGTGTTGTCAGGGCTGTCCTGCATGGGCCAGCGGAGCTCGGGGTGCCCCACGCACGCACCGAGGACAGTGGCTACTTCTAAGGCGAGAGGCTGACACGAGGCCTGGCCGTGCACGTACCTGGACTGTCAGGATCCCCTTCGCGAGGCCCAGGAAGGGGCTCCTGGGCCTGGCGGAAGGTTTGTGTGTGTTCGATCCGAGGTTACTGTTAAACCCTGCAGAGGATTTTGCCTCTGTGCAACCATGAAGGGAGCTGAAAGTTCCAGATTTAGCAACACCCGTAATTCCCCCATGCCCAACCAGCTGCAGGAACAACAAAAAGCAGATCCTGCTCCTATTTCCCCTAGGAGAATGTTTCCATGGATTAAAAGCAATGCTGCTACAAAGGTTAGCTCCATGGAAGTGTAACTGGGATTGTCAACCTTTCAGTCCCCTCTTTCCATTCCAAATCCTATGGGTAAAACGGATTTAGGTAAAAGGAGAAAAGATTTGCTCTTACCCCATTCCACCGCGTCCTCCTCCCCGCCCACCTCTGCTCATGCCTCCGCGATCATATCCCCCTCTGCCCCTGCCCCGGCTATCGGGGCCGCTCATGTTCCGGTTCTCTCCCGGGCCTGAAAAGCCTCCGGATTCCTGTCCGTAGACACTCATGCTGCTGGGATGGTCCTGACGGAACGAACCTGAGGAGTTTGTAATGGACACGTTAGGCAGTTGCAGACAAGAGCCGGACTAAGATGCCCAGCCCCTACTAAGCCTTTTCTTCCCCCTCACTTTCAGAACATAGGGAGCATCCCCAGACAACTGTCCACTCCGTTCCCCCAGCCTCAGTGCTGTTTCAACGCCAAGTTTTATCAGTCCAAACTCTCCCAGGCTGTCACCTGGGAAGACACAGCTGCTCACGCCGAGTCCTGCCCACCCCAGGCCGCACCAGCATTTCGTATTTCGGTGCCTTTCAACCACTCACCCACCTTCCCCACCCTGAGGCATCCACTGTGCTTTGCCCCGAGCCAGACATGCCAGTTTGCAGCAGGAAGGGACCAGAACAGCCCCAGTGATGCTCTGCCCTCGATGCAAAGCAAGCCCTGACCTCACATGCAAAGCCTCTCTCTGCACACAGCGCATCCGGCCATGTGAGAGCCATGGAGGCAGCCCTGCAGCTGCTGCTAAGCACGTGGCTCGTGACCCACTCACTCTGCTGGCTGTAACTGCTGCTCTGCTGGCTGTACTGGCTGGGGGCCTGGCTGTAGGATCCCGTCTGGGGCGGGTAACTGGTTGGGGGAGGCTGCTGCCCGTAGCTGCTTTGCTGCCCATAGCTCGTCTGCTGCCCGTAGCTGCTCTGCTGCCCGTAGCTGCTCTGCTGCGAGTAAGTGCTCTGATCGTAACTGCTCGGCTGCGTGGAGGAGTAGCTGAAAGACAGGAGCACGGAACACGCAGAGGGATGAGTCAGTTCCCCGGGACGGGTGCATTAGCCTGCGCAGCGTCTCGCTAGGGAGTAATGCAATTTTAAGCCCTATGTAATATCGAAAAACAAACAAACAAACAAACAAAAAAAACAAACATTTGAAAAGATGAAGTCAGCTTGCAGAGGCTATTCTGATGCCAGGGGAAAAAATAAATCTGCCTGATATTGCTTTCAGCAGGCTACAAGACCACTCATGTTTTGTACACAGCTCAAGAGAGAAGCAAAAGCATCAGGGTTAAACTCAGAGGCAACGCAGACAACAGGCTTCCCTTCTGCCTCAGTGCTGAAATGTTCCTCTCTGATGGAGGGTAAAACAGTTCTGCTTCAGGTATTTCAGGCTTTGAGAATTTCAAAGCATGCCTGCTAGAAGTCAGCAGCAACTCCGCACCTAAGAGCGGGTACTAGGGACAGCCGAGGTCACAGCCACATTCAAGGACGTGGCCAAGGGGCACTTTCACACTCCAGATCCAGGAAACTTCTTAAAAGCATTTGGCATTTTTGCCTTGTTGGTGCAGGTATGAACGCACAGACACCTATTCACCTGCTCATAGCCTCATCTTCCTTATGAGAAGGAGCAGACCTGCCTTCCCGCAGGACATCAAATCTCCCTTTACATTTGTTCATATAAGATCCCTTTCCTCCCCCGCAAAAACATGCCCAAGCTGAGGCATCAGTTCCAAGCTGAGCTGCCCCAGGCTTAGCCTTTGCCAAGAGTTACCTGGTGGGAGGATAGGATGGAGGCGCCGTGACGGGCTGCATGGGGTAGCTGGCAGGCACCTGAGGATAACTGTAGTTACTCTGGCCGTAGCCCAGGCCGGGCTGGCTGTAGCCCGTCGTACTCGACGGGGGCTGGCTCGTCTCTGCTGGTTTGCTGCCATCCTGGGGTCTGAAAAGCAGCATTGAACAGTGAGGAAACACGGGCACAAAGCTCAGCAGGTAAAGCCCCCGGATCCGCCCCCTCCTTACATAAAAGTGTGCTCCCTGTTTCTCAGGGAATTGCTACAGGCTGGCATCAAATCGGTGCCCAGTCATTCTGAGAGCAGCTAATACACAGCAGTTACACAGCAAATGTTTTGCCATCGCTGGTAGGTGCTTTATCCACTCCCCTGCTGCCAGGAAAGGCCTGGGCAACATCGTTATGGAGCACTTAAGAAGCACTAAAGCTGCTGTTGGCCGGCTGCACTGTGAAGCCTTAGGCCAGGGATTGAGACTTTGGCTCTTGAGTGACTGGAGGATGCGGCAGGGCCGGGAACCGGCAGCGGTCACTGCGCTCGGGCTGCTTCGTCGCAGCCCTCGTAAACCATTAGCTTGAAAGCAGCCAGAAACTGCCAGTTAAAGGCCTCTCTGTTTGGCTTCGAGCTCAGGGCCATGAGATCTTGCTCCATATAAATTATCCAGTGCCTGGGGAGCAATGTTTGGGATGAACCCTAAACATCTGAAAATGAAGAGGGCTCTTGCACGGAATTCACACTTCCCCTTCTTTCAGTTTTGGCCCTTCCTGTTTATAATGTTACAGTGTTTCCTCAAAGCCAAGTGAAAACAATTCAACTACTTTTGCTGTGGAAGCTGGGAAATTATTTGTTTTAAATGACATCAGAACTTTGCTTATCTGAAAGATAGGGAGAGAGCTGTGCTAGGCTCTATCTTTCCTAACCAAAGCAGTTACTGTAAGCACCAGGTAAATGAATAAAGCAGCTCGTACTTGCTACTAAATGAGGTTTTATTATGTATTCTAAAAACTTCCTGTACTGAGCAAACACGCAAACAGCGCCGGGGGCTGAGTGGTTTAAAGAGCAGCCTGCCTCCCGCACGTGCACCTCTTCGCCCCGCAGCCCCCGGGCGAGCCAGGGTGCAAGGAGAGGCTCTGACCTGCTCAGTCTGCTCTGTCACATGCGCCCGGCGCCCCTTTGGGCTGGGTTTTGCTCTTCCCACCTCGTGCTCGCGGTGCTGACTCCCTGCACTGAGCAGGAGCTACTGCTTGGGCGCCAGCGCCTCGGAACAGCGCTGGGATGCAGCAGAGCAGAGCTCCAGCAGGAGGGGCAGAGAGAAGGCCCGTGCAGAGCCAGCGGGGCCAGGGCCTGCCCCGAAGGGCAAACGTGGCTCGAGAAGCTGGTGGGAGGCAGAGGGTACCTGGCGGGCGCTGACGTGGCCGGCTGCTGCCCGTAGCTGGGGTAGGCGGGCTGGGTGCCATAGGCGGACGGGGCTGCGTAGGAGGCCTTCGCGGCTCCCGAGGCCGCAGGTGCTGCTCAGGATCAGTCATTTCAAGACGTGGCAGGGAGCCTCAAAACGACACCCAAACGCGCTACCCTTCCTCGGATAACCCCCGCAAAGGGAAACCTCCTCCTGCATCCCAGGGCAGCCAGGAGCCCCATTCCCGGACCTCAGGGAAAGGCACCTGTCAATGGGCGGCTACAGGCGGAGCATTCACAGCTGCCACCACTCGGAGGCCACGTGGGACAAGCGGAGACACGTGGGGCCTTCTGCAAAGCAGGAGGGCTCACAAAGCTCCCGCTGGCTTTACAGTAAAATAAATGCAAATGATTAGAAAGGGGGGAAAAAAAGTTTAATCCCATCTTTTCAGCATGAAAATGAAAGCACAGAACAACCCTGGAAGTTCGTACAACTACGTTTCTGAACAACTGCCCAAGAATATCCGAGATCCCAAATGATCTACATTTAGATCAGTCTTGCCAGTGGCCACCACGGGATAGTTTAGCTGATGGTTTGGTTCGATACAAAGATGAAAATCAGGTTTTAGCCTCAGTTAGGAAACTTCCAAACACGTTTTCAAATCGCAGAAGACTGCACGGAGAACTTCACCAATGGAAAACGTTGCCAGCAGAGGCCGACTTACTTAAAATACAAAACTTTGACTGCCAAAGAGCATCCAACTGGTCTCTTAGTATCGTGTCCATAATTGCATCAATTAAAACAGCAGCTTCTCCTTTGCTTGTTATTTTTCTTAAACGTAAGACATGCGTGATGTACTCTTCCTTCTAGATACACAGCATTTTAGACTCACTGCAATGTAGTGTTTTTTGTTTCAATTCCCCAATTTGCAAAGAGCAAGGAGAGTGAAGCTGATGAATCTGCAGCTCCTTCCTCTTCCTCACAAAGCCCCTTCCCAGCTCGCTGGGCTTTGCAGGTACCTGCCACCACACCAGGCCCCTTCCCAACTGCCTGGACCAGGAAGAAAACGGGAAGAAGAGTGAGAGGAGGAATCGCTAAAGCACGAGACGAAACTTGTCTCCCACCAGGAAGCACCCGCACGAACTGCCAGCAAAGCAGTTCTCAAAATGGTTCAATCCTTTCTGCTGAGAGGATCTCTGAACAGCAAAGTCCTGTTCCAAGCGCTTCTGAAAAGGGTGAAGATAAGTTGACCATGAGGCAGCAGTGTGCCCTTGTGGCCAAGAAGGCCAATGGGATCCTGGGGTGCATTAAGAAGAGCATCTCCAGCAGGTTGAGGGAGGGGATCCTGCCCCTCTACTCAGCCCTGGTGAGGCCACATCTGGAGTATTGTGTCCAGTTCTGGGCCCCACAGTACAAGAGGGA